CAAAGATGTTAATTTGACAGCAAAACAATTCTGAGAATATGTTCTGCAAGAGGGGAAAAGTATCATGATAGAAAGAGGACTGGGCCAGGAAAGCAGATATGCCACAAAGGAGAAACACTACAAATGTAAAGAATGTGAAAAATCTTCAAATATAATTCTTTGTTCATTAGCCACCAGAGAAATCAGACTGGTGAAAAACACCATAAATGAATGTGGAATAACTTGCATGAGAACCTCATCCCTTTTGAATCATCACAAAATTTATATAGTCATACAACCTTAAATTGAATATGGGAAGTTCCTTAAGCATTCAATACTTTGTTTTTTCTTTTTCAGTTTTGTTCCCACACCTGGAGGTGCTCAGGGCTTACTTATGGTTCTGAGCTTAGGGATCACTTATAGTGAGGGTTTGGGGACCATATGTAGTATAGGGGATCAAATCCAGGTCAGCCACATGCAAGGCAAGAGCCCTTCTTTATGATCTCTCAAACTCCTAACAAAATACTTGTTAATCAAAAAATTTATCCTAAAGATAAACTCACAAGCACAAAGATAATGGGAAACTTTCAGAAAGCACGTTATTCTTTTAAGTCACCACAGAATTCACACCGGTAAGAAACCCTATAAATGCAGTGACTGGGAAAGTCCTTGCCCAGAATTCAGTTCTTATTCCCAGAAAATACATAATCAAGATAAGTTTTTAAATATGTGGGAAAGCGTCTGGGACAACTCAATCTTGTTAGAACATCAGAAAGTTCATCCTATGAGAAACCACATCACTTTAAAGATTGTTGAAAGCATTTAGGAAGAACTCAACTCTTCTAGGACATCAGAGATTTCATATTGGAGAAAAAAAACCCACTGTAATAAATGTGGAAAACTCTTCTGGCAGTTTTGGCCTTATTGAAAATAATTCATATTGAAGAAAAACCTTATCAAAGTAATGAATGTAGAAAGGCTTTTCCTCAGAAATCAATGCATAAACAACATGAGAAAAATCTTAACCAAGAACGATCAGATATAGTTAGTGTGGTAAATTATGCAGAATATCTTTTCACTAGGGCTGGAGCGATAGCACAGCGGTAGGGCATTTGCCTTGCACGCAGCCAACATGGCCGACCCGAGTTCGATTCCTCCACCCCTCTTGGAGAGCCCGGCAAGCTACCGAGAGTATCTTGCCCGCACGGCAGAGCCTGGCAAGCTCCCCGTGACGTATTTGATATGCCAGACACAGTAACAACAAAGTCTCCAATGGAGACGGTACTGGGCCCGCTCGAGCAAATCGATGATCAACGGGAGGGCCTTTACCTTTACCTTTTATCTTTTCACCATCAGAGAGGAGATACTCAATATTTAACAAAGATATCCTTTGTTTCTCTATTCTAGAGAACTTATTTACTTTTATTGAATCACTGTGAGGTACAGTTCCAAAGCTTTCATGATTGAGTTTCAGTCATACAATGATCCGAACACCCATCCCTCCGCTAGTGTATATTTCTCACCCCCAATGTCCCCAGTATCCTTCCACCACCCCCACCCCCCCACCCCCCACCTCTATGGCAGGCATTTTTCTTTTTATTCTCTAGAGAATTTCTTACTTAAAAGAACATTCACTATGGAACCAGAGAAATTAAATAGAAAATTAGGCACATGTCTTGCATGCAGCCAATTCCAGTTCAATTCCTGGTAGCAAATATACTCCCCTGAGCTCAGGAGTAAGCCCTGATCACCACCAGGTGTGGCCCAAAAGCAAACACAAAAGAATATTCATTGTAGTGGATTTTGTACTAGTTAAGTAATTAAAAAATCCAAATACCAAACATTATGGAAATAGTTACTCTAGATTAATATGCAGCAAGTGAAAAGAAGCTACTAGAGCTCCATATACAGCTATGAAAATAGTTCTACTATATCTTGAGTTAGAGACATATGTTGCAGAAAATATTCTTTATCGGAGTGGAGGGCCAGGGGCATAGCTAGGGGTGCTCAGGACTTATTCCAGACTCTGCATTCAGGAATAACTCCTGACAGGTTCAGGGGGCATAATGGGGTGCTGGGGATTAAACAAGGGCTGAGTGTGTCCAAGGAAAGAGGCCTATCTGCTGTCCACAGAAAACATCTCATGTTTAAGAAATTAATGTATTTTTATGTGTGTACATCTATTTACTCAAACTAGAAAAATTAAAAGTCAAAGTTTAATAATTGTTAGATTCAAGAAGTGCTGAAGAGATAGCACATTAGTAAGATGCTTATCTCACATCCAGCCAAATCAGGTTCAATCCCCTTCACCCCATATGGCCCCCTGAGCTCAGCCAGGAGTAAGACTTGAATACTGTTAAATGCAACCCCAAAACAAAAATGAAAAAGTGTGGTATTGATATGATATAGTGAAATTTTTATTTTATCCATTTTTTATATTGTTAAATCAGGCCTATAGTCACATACCACTATAGTTTAAAATCACTTATTTTCATTAATCTGGAAATTCATAAGCCATAAAACTCTCATGTACAAACTAAAAAGAAATTGTATGAAATTCCATAATGCTAAAACTGTCACACTGTGTTAAAACACTAAGCATTTTAGTTGGAGAAATATAACCACATCAAATATAACAAATTATGTCTAAAGTGCATAAAAAGTTCTTAAAATTACATGAGAAAAATGAAACCCCACTTCAGATCTCAGATATGAAAATAAACAGTTGCAAAAAAAAGAAAATTTAAATGGTCAAAGTTACTAGCTCACAAGAACTGGTCTAGAGAACTGAACTTACCACAGTGAGGGTCCAGGGGACGAAGGTAAGGACATTGAGATAATAGTGGAGGGAAGTGGAAGTTGGTGAAACAAAACATTATGTAACTCATAATGTATTTTTATGTGTGTACATCTATTTACTCAAACTAGAAAAATTAAAAGTCAAAGTTTAATAATTGTTGCCTCAAGTAAAATTAAACCAAAAATGACTTAAAAGAGAAACATGAACTAATCAGAATTTTCCACCTGTTTAACAAATTAGTGAAATGGAAAATATTCAATGCTTCCACAGATATTTTTATGTGTTTATGTACACATATGTACATATACACATGTTTATCCTTTGGAATTAAGTTAGTAGTCATTTAATACTTAACAAGTTAGATTTTTATGAACTGACAAAGAGGTCCAAGACATTAGGTGGTAGAAAAAATTAAATTTAGGGCCAGAGAGACAGGAAAGCAGGTAAGGGCTTACTTTGCATGTGGTTAACCTGGGTTCTATACCCATCGCCCTAAATGGTTGCCCCTCAGAAGTAATCCCCAAGCACAGAGCCAGGTGAAAGAGCTGAGTACCTCTGGGAGTGACTCAAAACCAAAACCAAAAAAGCTAAATTTACATGTGTGATCATTCTCATATTTCTGATGCTTAGTACTGATCTGAGATCAGACGAAATAGAGATCAGGCTGGAGCAATACACAGCGGTAGGGCGTTTGCCTTGTGTGCAGCTAGCCTGGCTGAGCTGGGTTCGATTCCTCCGCCCCTCTTGGAGAGCCCGGCAAACTACTGAGAGTATCTCGCCCGCACGGCAAAGCCTGGTAAGGTACCCGTGATATATTCAATATGCCAAATACAATAACAAGTCTCACGGTGGAGAAGTTACTTGTCCCACTAGAGCAAATCGACGAACAATGGGAGGACAGTGCAGTGCTACAGTACTGATCTGAATCCTCTTACAAATTTGGTAGCTGCTGTCATTGCCTGAAACTTCAGCTAGGGCTGTTGACAGGAATATCTACACATGGCCTTTTTATCTGGTTGCCAGGGCTTCTTCACAGAATGATGGCAGAGTTCCAAAGCTGATGTCCCAAGAGAAGCATGCACGGAACTAGTGTTATCCTCTGAAATTATAGTACCACTTTATATGTAGTCTATGACTTATCCAAATTCAAGTGATGGGGTGGCATAAATAAACCATATTTCTTCATGAGAGCACTATCAGAATTACATAGGAAACAGATCAATGGGAGATATTATGACCAGCTTGGAAAATTTAATCTACTACCGGAATAAGATATAACCAATACCAAGGATGGGGTAGATATTTTGCAAGAAAGATAGTGGGTTATGAAATTAAATCTAAAATTTTTATGGCAAAAAAATAAATAAAATAATATTTTTATGGCATAGCATTTAGTAATGTTTTGAGGTCAGAGAACAATATAAAGCAATGTAGCACTGTCCTCCTGTTGTTCTCGATTTGCTGGAACAGGCACCAGAAACGTCTCCATTGTGAGACTTTGTTGTTACTGTGTTTGGCATATTGAATACGCCATGGGGAGCTTGCCAGGCTCTGTCACATGGGTGGGATACTCTCTGTAGCTTGCAGCGCTCTCCGAGAGGGATGGAGGAATTGAACCCGGGTTGGCCACGTGCAAAGCAAATGCCCTACCAGCAGTGCTATTGCTCCAGCCCAGAGAACAATATATACTTTGCATAATTTTAAAGACTACTAGGAACTTATAAATATACACATATACACACATGTGTATGTGCAATATATTGTTAGCTATTTAAAATATTACCAGAAAGAAAAGTTCAGAAAAAGATTATTATACTGGTGCATTCTAGTACAGAAGTTGTCTGCCTTACATGTGGTCAACCACGGTTCACTCCCTGATACCACAGGGTCTCCTGAGTATCTCCAGATACAGCTTTGGAGGCCACAGAGCACCTTTAGGTTGTGATTCTAGTGGCGTCACGTGAGTGCTGCCCAAGTGGCTAAGTAGCCACTGCCATTACAAAGGCCTGAGATACAACATATATTCAGGCTTTCACATTGAAGCACTGGCTGATTGGCCAAGATTAACTGAAAGGAATCCTTAGGCCTCTAGGTCACCACTTGGGATCCCCTTCCGACCACCACCACCACCACACACACACACACACACACACACACACACACACACACAAGCCTGTTACTCAGTGAAATACTAGCAAATCATAATCAGTGACACATAATAAAAGGATCATACACCATAGTCAAGATTTATTCCTGGGATACCAGGGTGATTAAACATATTAAAATCACTAGTGTAATACACCACTTTAATAGCATAAAGGATAATTATATGATCATCTCAATAGATACAGAAAAAGCATTTGAAAAAATTCAAATGCATTTTATAATAAAAACTAAACAATTTAAGAAGGAATGTACCTCAACATAATAAAGGTCATATGTTAAGCCTATACTTAACTTACTCAACTTTCAACAGGAAAGCATTTCCTTTAAGATCAGGAACAAGAAGGAGGATTCCCACTCTACACTTTTGTTCAGAACTGAAGTATTAGCCAGAACAATTGGGTAATAAGAGGAATTAAAGGAACCCAAAATGGGAAGGAGAAAGGAAACTTGTTATTCTGATGTTTTAAAGAATCTTATGCAAAATTGTGTACACTGTTTTAATTTTTTTTTGGAATATATCAAGGTGAACCTGTTGCTGCATGATAAAGCTATGTCTGAAAGTTCAAGAAGCTTGAAAACTGTTATCCAGAATGGCACTTTATATTCCCACAGCAATGTATTTCCTCCACATTATCTTCCAACACTGGGTACTCAGTTCCCCCCACCCCCGTACAATTTAGAGTTGAGAACCACTATACAATACTTACCACCAATGTCAAAACATTTTCATCAACTAAGAAATAAATCTCATAATAGTTAAAAAGTGGAAATAGCCTAATGTTCATTAATTGTTGAATTGATAGGTAATATGTGATATATCCATATCATAGATTATTATTCAGCCAGAAAAGGAATGAAATACTGATGCATGCTACAACCTGGATGGATCTTAAAACATTGCCTTAGTAAAATAAGTTACATATTATAGAAATAATTTTATATGAAATATCCAGAGAAGACAGATATGCATAAACATAATAATTTTATAGTTCCAAGGAGCAAAGGTTAGCAATAGAGAATTACAAGTGAAAATTAGGATTGTTGATGTTATGGAAGTGTTTTCAGAATAGGTTCTAGTACTACATCTATCTAATGACAACTGATAAAGTCTGTAAATCTTATTTATAAATACTACATCTAGGAATATATTTTAAAATAACTATACAAAGATATAATATGCAACACTATAACAAACATTCAGAAAATAATACTGATCAACAGAGGACTTTGTAAATAAATGATGAAATTTCTCTTAATTCAAGTAGCTCTAAGTAATGCACTGTAGGAGAAATTCTAGGCCGTGGTTTGCAATAAAAAAAAAATACTGAGTATGTAAAAAATAAAATGTGATAAAGAGGTCAACTAAAAATTTTAAACTTGTATCTACTATCTACAGAAAAACTTTCACAAGCATATATTAGGTTGATGGAAACATCTTATGCAATTAGATAAAAAAAATCCCTAAAATTATGAGATATGCATAAAATTGATAATAAACAAGAAATTTATTTTTTATATTCATTTGGGGGAAAGGAGAAGAGTCAGTTTGCCCTAACCAATGGTAGTCTTTCTAAAAGAGTATTCTTTCATTCCATTGATTGGACAGATATCTTCATCTCATTTTAAAGAAGTTTATACTCTTAATTCATAAAGCAAATCTCCTTTGAAGAGAGTTGTCAAAGAGTGAGCCTTTGAGAGCAGCTTCGTTGGTGTACAGCCAGACTCCCTCTTTGAGTGAAGCTTTTCCCGCATTGTCCACACAGATAGGGTGTCTCTCCTGTGTGGACTTTTCCATGTAGAACACAATTCCCCCTGGTGTGGAAACTCTTCCTGCACTGTGCACAGGCATATGGTTTCAAGCCTGTGTGGACTCTGATGTGTACAATTAAGCTTCCTTTCTGACTGAAGGCTTTTCCACACTGATCACATCTATAGGGCTTCTCACCACTGTGAACTCTTCTATGAACAGCAAGATTACTTTGATTCCTGAAGCTTCTCTGACAAATGGCACACTCATAGGGTTTCTGTCCAGTGTGTAGTCTTTCATGAACAGCCAGACTACCCCGTTGACTAAAGCTTTTCCCACACTCCTTGCACTGGTAGGGTTTCTCTCCTGTGTGTATTCTTTGATGTGTAACAAGATTGCCTTTGGCCCTGAAGCTTTTTCCACAGTGAGTGCACTCAAAGGGCTTTTGACCAGTGTGGATTCTTTCATGTAATGTTAGACTACCTTTTTGCCTGAAGGATTTTCCACATTCCTGGCACTCATAGACCCTCTGTCTCACTCCAGGTGAATCTTCCTGCAATGCCTTAGAATCTGGGGATTTTTGTTCCAGCCTCTCTCTTCTGAAAGAATTCTGGAAATCCCAGCTTGAGGATCCTGTGGCCTCAGAGTGATCATATTTGTGGTGTGCTTCTGTCATCACATCTGGTAAAATGAGAGGGAAGTCATGTAAGATGCACCAATATGCTGAGTGAGAAGAATAGGGAAAAAAGAAACAATGCTTTGAGCACTATGTGCCAGACATTATACTATGAATATGCATAGAAAATTTATACCTGAAAAAAAAAACTTACGATACTATTACAGACAAGGAAACTACAGCATAAGGAGATTATCAAAGGTTTTAAAAGCTAAGGGTTGAGGTGTGATTCAAACACAGGCATATATTTAACTTAGTGACTCAAAAAAGTCTTGTGAGGGAGACAAGATTATCTTCATTTTGCAGATAAGAAAATAGTGCTCTCCCACTCCAAGATGAAGAAATGTATCTGAATTATATATACTCTCCCTTTGACTCTGAAAGGTGTGAATCCACATTTTTGTAGAGGCTAAAGTTTTACTATTGTGTAATTTCTCCATTAAGAAAAAGTATAAAAGTAGTTAAAAGACTTAAGAAACCAAGGTAAAGAAGAGGTTCTCAAACTTAGCTTCATTAGCTTCATAAGAAATTTACTGCTATGAAAGACCACCCTCCTGATAGTGAAGTAAGCTACATGATATATAAAAATGTTGAAGAACTACTTCCACTGTTCACAGATTAGTACAAATTGCTACAATATTTAAAAACTAAACACAGTAGTTTCTTCTCTGATTTACAGACAGGTTCAAGGAAGTTAAGCAATTGTGCTATATGTTAAAGCTGCTTATTTCCTCAGAAACTATCTATACTATCTCCAAAACTTGTATTTTGTTCTACTTCTACTGTTACTTATTTTCTTCTTTTTTGTTTTTGGGTTACATCCAGGGATACTCAGCAATTACTCCTGGCTCTGTACTCAGAAATTATCCTGGAACTGCTCGGGGGAACACATGGAATGCCAGGGATCAAACCCGGGTTGGCCACATGCAAGGCAAGAGCCCTACCCACCGTACTATCTCTCAGGCATCTTCTATTGTATTCCAACTCCCTTTAAACACCATAAATGGTAAATTCTGCCAATGAATGACTTCTCTGCTTCATCAGCGTGCCTACCAGGACTGAGAACAGGGACAATGAATATGGCCAACTGAGGGCATTCCAGCAAGCAACCAACTCACTCACTGAAAAATGCTACATTCTGGGCATATCTTCCATGACAATCCAGCAGGGTAGCTGTTGGAAATCCAAACATGTCCACTCCTGCTGTGTGATCTTAATCACCACCTCTTCATATGATTCTTCCATGTGCTGTTCTTGAACACCTGAGGAAACCAAACAACAAAAAACAAGAAAGGGGAGGAAAAATTGGTGAGAAGGATAAAATAGATTGGAAAGGGTGTGATTAAGTGAAGAAAATTAGTATTGCTAATTGTGCATTACCTACAATGGAACTGAAAAATGGAATTTAAAAGTATACAAAGGAGTCCAGAAAGAAGTATAACATGGGTAAGTAGAAGGCACATAATCACATACATCTTCTTGCTGATCCTAGAAGATGGACACTTCTTTTTGTATCTTAGCCTTAGCATGCTTTTTCGCTGAAATATTCCACAACCTTTCCTCCACATAAATTTTTATTTTATTCTCAGAGCCTCCAAATTAACTTCAAATATAAAATACAACAAGCATTTCAGCCTTCATGACTCGTTTATGATGGGAAATAGTTACAGTTTTCCTCTCCAGTTCCCTCAAATTTTACAAGACAAGATATTTTATATCTTACATTTGAGCACTTCTTAGGAGGCTTCAAATGTATAACCACTCCTCTCATATCTAAGATAATGAAAATTCCAATATGAGGAAGTATATATACTTTTCAATTCTTGGAAAAGGCTTAGAACTCTATCAAGCTCAAAAACTCTTAGAAACTTGCTCAGATTCTGAGAGTCTGCAAGGAGTCACTGTGAAGCAAACGTTAAAGTTCAATGCTTTCCAGATATAAAGTTATTAGACAATTCTTGGGTTACTTGAACTGAAAAAACGGTGGAAATTCTTATCAAATGAAACACTGGAATAGGGCTTTATGAGACTTCTGGATTCAAGAATCTTTCTCCAATTGTTTTTTTAAAAAATATTCTGTTGTGTAGGACCCTACTTATCAAATTATTATACTTTATACAGTGATTCAGTGTAAAATCTTTGTGTCCCGTTAATATGTTCCACAAAAATGCTGACCTCTTTAATCTAATGAAATAGCAGTGCAAAGATCCATTCATTTTACTTAACCTAAGCAAACACCTGGTCTCCATTACATATTCTGCTACAAGTTGTAATCAGAGAGGCATTCCAAACTCTTATTTGGAGAATACAGATTGGACTCCGATTTGGAATACAAATTACAAAAGTATCATCGCTCAAAAGTCCCAGGTCACTGCAGAGCACCACTTGAAATTCAGGGTGTTTCTGCTCCACAACTGCATATCCACCAGGAGGCAGTGAAAAGATGTGGCACCTGCTGGCCTGAATCAGGCATCCAGCAAATTGTTGGCTCTAAACAAATGGGTAGGATTTGTATTTTCTCCACAAACAGTGAGATCTTCAACAAGTAGCTTAGCTCAGGTATCTCAGCGAGTTTCTTGACTGAAAAAGGGCAAACTTGTTTTTCTCATGTAGAGCACAAGTCTGAGAATTTGGGGAAAGTGGCTTCACAATGAAACAACTGATCATAGACCTTTTCGGTTTTTGGAAAAAAAACCGAAAAGGTCTTAATTAGGCCATGAAAGACTCCAGGTGTTTGCTTTCGCTCTCCCCCACTTCTCCTGTGTCTGTCGTTGGCCAAAGCCCCAACTCTACTTCCTCACTTACTAGAAACACTGATCACACTGTCAGACGTGTAGCTTCTGGGAGGAATGAAAGAAGGAAACGTGACAGATACCTGATGAACTAGAGATTTAGGGCCTAAAGTTGACAAAGGTCAGAAGGAGATGACAGGAAGGGGTAAAAACATTGCTGCCTCGGGTCACCTCAGGGGATAGTTGCAGGATCAGGAGACTTTGGGTGGGGGTTATTTTTGTCACGGACTTAAACCCAGTTTCTCCTCTCTGCCATGCACCCTCCCTTGAGAAGACGCATCTCCCTTGTCCATCTTCTGACACCACTGCACAGGCCCCAGGGCGCACCTGCCTGGGGCCACCTCGTCCCTCTTCGCGGGGTGGGGGTCCGGGGGGGGGGTGCCCATTCTTTCCCCATGCCCTGCCCTGCAGAGCCGCTGTCCGAGGGGCTCCTGCTCCCCGCGGCGGCCTGTCATCTCCCACCTAGGGGCCCCGAGGCCCGTCTCAGCTGCCCCCTCAGTCCAGAGGGACGCTGTACTGTGGGCCGCAGACCTTTCCCCTCGCGACTGGCCTCCCTCGGGGCCCACGCCCTCCAGGCCCAGCTCGGGGTCACGGAGGGCTAGGGGCGGCGACCTGCCGGCGCGGCCCCGCCTCACCCGGGCGCAGTGACCCGGCCAGCGGCCCCACTCACCGCAGCGGCGCGCGCCCGCAGACAGACAAAGGCCAGAGTCGAGCCCGCCGCGGCGCCGGCGCGAGCAGACCGGACTACAACTCCCAGGAGGCTCTGCGCGACCCCGCCCGTCGGACACAAGATCTCGGCGGCTCCGGCTTTGCAGAGCACTGTGGGAAATGTAGTTCAGAGACGCGCCCAGCTTCCCGGACTGGAGGGTGTGGCGCTCTCTGGCGCTGACGACGCAGACCTATATATATAGCGAGACCGAGGCGGATGTAGCGCGAGGGCCATAGGCAAGGCGACTCGTGAAACGTGGAACGGGGAGTCTCGGGAAGCCCCTTGTCAGGGCTCCTCAGTCCTTGTAGGAAGGACTTCGTGGGAGTCAAATTTAGCGAAAAAATTAGTTGAAGAATGTCTGGAATTAGTTAAAGTACTCAGCTTCTCCAAGAGTCTTAACGTGTTTTCTGTCAGTTGGGTGCTGAAGCAAGAGGCAAGTCTTTCTGGCAAATCTTGTGAGGAAAGGATAATTTTTGACACTCAGGTAGGAGGATGTCTGTGTGTATTGGAGAGTTGTTCCCTTCTGGCATCAGAAGTACTCGCCCCAGAAATAATGGGTCAGGCTTTAGAACGGTACAGCTTGTACCTCAACTCCACCACTGACAGCATCTCTAAGACTGCCCTGTGTTATTATTCCCCAGGACTGGGGTAGTTATTTTGTCTGAAGATAACACAGCACGTACACTCCTAGAAGTCACTCCAGTAGTTCATTCAGTTGAGGTAAGAATGATGCAGATGACAGGACAAATTCTGATCACACTGTGAAAAGTATACGATAAAACTTTGGTGGGAAAGGGTGGCGTTTTTTTTTCTCAAAGGGGAAAAAAATCTTAATGGATTCCCTTGAGGTGTTTCAGGAAAGCAGAGCTGTTGAGTAGACAACTAGGGAGAAAATGGTTAAGACTGGAATTGATGAGACCCAGTTCTATATAGACAGCAGTCCTTACCCATATCCTGTATGGAGCAGCACCCATTAACCATTAACCAGCACCCATTAACTTCAGAAGAGGGCAAGCAACAGGATGAGGGTATAAGCAGAGTGGAATCAAAAGATTTGTAAAGAAATATTCCTTGACTTCCCATGCATTCAAAATATTGAGTAAAGACAGATAATTCAGCAAATGGTGCTTTGACAAAGGGCTAAATTAATTGGGAAAGAAATACAGTTAGATGTTTTCCTAACTTCTTTGCCAAGATAGCTTTCTACAAAGCAAACATAAAACCCAGCTCCATTGAAGGCCCAGAAGAACAGATGATTAATATTTCTATGATCTTATAATAGCGTAGATTGTGTTGATCAAGGCAGGAACAGTAATGACTGAGAATGCTGGATTTGATTGCATCTCAATCCAGTACTTAGGTGTACCAAACAAATCACTACATGAAGTTAACACATAATAAGCTAGGAGGATGTTAATAACTATCTCATAAACACTGTCTGTCCTCCCGTTGTTCATTGATATGTTTGAGTGGGCTCAGTAACGTCTCCATTGTGAGACTTCTTGTTACTGTGTTTGGCATACTGAATACTCTCAGTAGCTTGCCAGGCTCTCTGAGAGGGGCAGAGGGATCGAACCTGGCTCGGCCAGGCTTGCTGTGCGCAAGGCAAACGCCCAACCGCTGTGCTATCTGGCTAGTCAGAAAGTGAGTGGTCGCAAGGTCAACCTAAAGTCAACCTGCAGCAAACTATAAAATAAACTATCATATAAAAAAATAAAAATCAATAAGAATAAAAATAGAAATTTTGCAAAGAATGAAAGACAAAAAAAACAGGTTTTCATTTTATAAAATGTCAATTGAAACCAAGCAAAACCAAATTCTAATTACTAATGGAGACTAGAATGTTTTCATTTTTATATAAATGACAATAATCCTGATTATGCATTTTGATATGTGTGAAAAAGTCCTAAAAGTATACATATTCCTTTTAGATGTTTTCCAAAGGAGGAAAAAGTCAGACAATTATATCAAAATTATGAAGTGAAAGATGCATTATCTATATAACTGAAGGAATTTAATAACTTGGAATGGATTTACACTTACTTTGAAGGTACTGACTACCTCAAAACCTTCATAAGAAATTATGATGCTTTCAGAAAGCCCAAGACTTCATCTATTGCCCTGATTTTGAACAAACTCTGGGTTCACATGATAGGATATTCAAATGTAAGACCTTATATGAACATCACATCATGCCATACCAATGTGTTTTAATAATTATTCATATTCTTTCGATAAAAACTATACAAGTAGCTTTATTTTTTATTTCTATGTTTGATTTTTGGTACAGCCTCCCCACTGGTGCTGGTGGCTCTCAAGGATACCTCAGGCAGTATTTGGGAGGCCATGAGGTATTGGGAATGGAACATGGGCACTATGCCTGCCAGGCATGTTACTTCAGTCCTTGGAGCTATCTTCTGGCCCATATTTTTGTTTGCTGTGGCTAAAGTTAAGAAATAAAGAATAATTCTGGAGCTGAAGCAATAGAACCGCGGGTAGGGAGTTTGCCTTGCACGTGGCCGACCCAGGTTCGATTCCCAGCATCTCATATGGTCCCCCAAGCACCATGAGGAGTGATTCCTGAGTGCATGAACCAGGAGTAACTCCTGTGCATTGCCGGGTGTGACCCAAAAAAGCAAAAAATAAATAAATAAATAAATAAATAAAAGGAAGAAAAGAAAGAATAATTCTGATTTGTTAAAAATAAACAATAAATGATGCAGCTGTTAGTTTTAAAGACTTTAAAGCCTTCAAGCATATTTCAGATTAGTGAAACATTTATTAAAATATAAAGTAGCTACAGAATCATAACTACAATACAACTGATTTTACTGCGTAGTAAAAATAGGTCTGCCTTTTGTCCTTGGCTTTTGGGTGACCTTTAAGTCCTTGAAATTTCAGGATTAATAAGAGTATTTTCATCTTCCTAGAGATTTTTGGTTATACAAGGTAATATAAAAGTTGATTTGGGATGCAGACTACTGCACTAGATAGATAGTCTTAGGATGGGGCCTCGGCATGGACAACAGTGTGATGTGTCTGGGTAGGGGTAGGATGAAGGGAAGGCTAAGGGGCTTAAGTCTCATGAAATACCTACTGTTTGACCACTGGAGACGATGGAGACAAAAGACTGAGATTAGTCATTAGCCCGTGGAAAATTTTTTATCTATGTGATGAAGGACAAATAAGCACACTGGAATAAATGCTCAGTGAGGTTCCCTGGTTAATAATACTCCATATGTATTTTCTCACATTAATGTTAGGAAAGTATTGTTTTCCTGACCTTATGGAGAAGGAGAAGGATAACTGGAAGTTCAGTGTTTGGTACTTTTTCCTAACCTTAAGGACAAGGATAACTGGAAGCTCAATGTTTGGTACTTTTTCCTCTCTGCCTTATGTTCTTCTATTTCTTGGTTTTAATTTATAAAATTTTAATCCTCCCAACACTGTATGTGCTGGTCCTTGCTCTAGAGCCTTTGGCTTGGACATCAAAAGGGTAGAATCTCAAAACTCTGATGGGCAGAGCCCCACCCCTAAAGCATGAGACTTAGTTATCGCCTGTTTTTTCATTGGTTGCCATGATGAGTGCGGCCACCTAGCAGGTGAATGGATTTCCAAAATAAAACTCATTTTTTATTATCATGTCTTTTAATTTCTGTACCACATTGAAAATGCTCAGAGATTCCTCCTGGCAATGCGCTCAGGAATTTCTGCAGGCTGACTTAGTGGACCCTAAGGGATGCCAGGTATTTACCCGGGTTGATAGTGTGCAAGCAGCTTCCTACCTGCTTTACTGTCTCTTGCTATAATTTTCTTTTCTTTATTCATTTTCCCAGTAAAGAATATCTCCTTCTGGGGCCGTAGTGATAGTATAGCAAGTAAGGCATTTTTCTTGCATGTGGCCAACCCAGGTTTGATCCCTGGCATCCCATATGGTCCCCTGAGCAACAGCTGGAGTAATTTCTGAGTGCAGAGCTAGGAGGAAACCCTGAGCATCACCAGGTATAATCCAAGGAGGAAAAAAAGGAATATGTAGGAATATGTGCTTCTTAAAGTCAGGGAGCAAAGTACTCCCCTCATTTCATCTGTCCCTTAGCAGGCTATCACTGCTGTTGTTTTGAGTTGTGCTGGTAAAGTAAGATATTTGAAGGAAGATATTTGATTTTTTTGAGAGGGGTTGGGGGTGAGTAGGAGCTTCACCTAGGCTCACTCCTGGTGTGCTTGAAATAATTTATTCAGAAAGGGCCAGAGTACAACAAGTAGAGTGCTTGCCTTGTAAGCAGCCAGCCCAGGTTCTATGTATGTCTGGTACCTCATATGATCCCCGAACTCCACCACGACTGATCCCTCATCCCAGAGCTAGGAATACCCCTGGGCACTTTTGGTTATTGCCCAAAAACTAAACATAAACACACAAACAAAGATACACACACAAGCACACAAACACACTGGATGTGAGAGCAGAGAAAAAAGAATAACTATTCAGGATAAAACATGGAGTATAAAACTTCTGCAGCATAACATAAGCCCAAAAAGTGTGATTTAAGGACAAAATGTTCAATCCTTTAAGTGTTTCACTATTGAATTTGCCTTTGCACATTAATTTATTTTTGGTTTTGTTTTGTTTGTTAGTTAGCTTTTGTTGTTGCAGTATTTGGTGTCCACGCCCTGCAGTGTTCATGGCTGACTCCTGACTCTGAGCTCAGGGATCATTTCTACCAAGGGTCAGGAGTCCATCTGGGGTGCTTGGTATCGAACCTGGGTCAGCCAAGTGCAAGGCAAGTACCTTTACTATATCACCACCTTGGCCCCAAGATATAATATTTATCTTTAAAAAGTAGAATCACTCCAGGTGCTACAAATGTGAGACACAGTTCACATCCTTGTGTATAGTAAATACCTGGATATTAGGATAATTTTCCTGTACAGCAAACATTTTGCACTGTTTTCAAATATATTAGGGCTGGAGCGATAGCACAGCGGGTAGGGCATTTGCCTTGCACGCAACCAACCTGGCTGACCCGGGTTTAATTCGTCCGCCCCTCTCGGAGAGCCCAGC